TACTGAAAGCTTTTTTTTTTTTTTTTTTTTTTTTGTTTGTTTGTTTTAACTCAACCTGTTGCTAAATGTTTACTGTTAGGGCCAAGTTTTTTGTTTGTAAAGTCAATAAGAAAGCTTTTGAACAGGCGATGCAATGTGGTTACAGGAATATAAAACCTTGGACTCTGAATCAAGGTCTTTGCAGTTTATTTTATAAATTAGGGTAGGAAAGGATATAAAGTCATTAAGAATTTCACGCACAAGGTGCTATGTTCCTTGTAAAACAAATATTGTCACGTATTCTTCAACCTAAGAGTCTATGTATTCTTGTTCATGGTTAACAAAATGTAACACACTGCAGTGAAACAATAAATCTAAGTGTTGGCTAATCTTTAGTGGTGAATATAAGCCCCAACAATACAAAATAGTCACTTGATTTGCCAAAATTCCTTAGATTTTGTCTTAATGGTTTTTCCATTTGCTCTGCCAAATTAAACTTCAATGGTGAGTCTAAATCTGTCTTTAGAATGTCATTTACCACTGATTGTTTGCAGTTCCTGGGGTTATTATCACAGTTGAACTATATCGAGAGGAAGAATAGATCAGACAGCAGATAAACCACATAGTACTAAAGTTATATGGAACAATGTATCACAAACCAAAAGATGAAAATAAGTGAATGGTACAATTGCACTTCATCTCACCAAAAGGCTTTTCATTAAACCCATATGTGTTTTTGGAAGAGTTCTGGGAGCATCTTGTAGTTCTCAGACATGTTCAAGTAGCAAAGCACTCAAGACTAATAATAATGATAATGTATTAATTCTACAGGTTACAATGCATTATCTTTACATTTAATTATACAAACAAGGGACATTTTTACTAGCAAAAAACAAATAAATAACTACAAGTACACATTACTCCCCATAAAAATTGTCAAACTAACTTTGGCTTAGTTGTTTCTTCATTTTCCTATTATTATTTTGCATCATTTTTCAAGGGCATCATGGTAGACAGATTTCAGACTAAGGCAGACTAGGAAGAAAGGCCTGGGGATCTACTTCTGAAAATTAGCCAATGAAAACCTTATGGATGACAACAGAACTTGTTTGACTCACTTGCTTTGAACACGTCATCAGGAGGGATCAATCACTAGAAGGGAATATCATGTTTGATGAACTAGAGGGCCAGCAAGGATGAAGGAGGCTCTCGGTGAGACGGATTGGCAAAATAGCCCCAGTGATGGACTCAAACATTCCAGCAATAGTGAGGATGAGGTAGGACCAGGCAACAATTAGTTCTACTTTACATAAGATCGCCATGAATCGGAGTCAATTCAACAACAGCTGTCTATCTTGTCTCTCTCAGTTTTTTTTTTTTTTGTCTTTTATGACCTTCACCTTTTTGAAGATTACAGGGCAGTCATTTTAGATAATGTCCTTCCACTTGGGTGTGCACAATGCTTCCTCATGATGTGACCCAAGTTATTACATTTTTGGCAGGAATATTGCAGAAGTGATGCTGTGCTCTTTTCATTGCATGCTATTAGGGGAAAACATAATGTCAGTTTGTCCCATTACCAGTGGGATTACTTTTGATTACTTGATTAAGTTGGTGTCTGCCAGATTTCTCCACTATAAATTGCTTGATTTTCTCCTTTCTAATAAATAAATATTTTATGTGGAGATACTTTTAAGACTCAGTAAACAAGTGGTGAGCATCTCATGTCTCATCCCACTTACACCCCCAGTCTTAGCATCCATTGATATTTCTAGACAGAATATTTCTATGATAATTGTCAAATTATGATTTTCTAATTCTGATATTCCCTCGGTATTTATTACTTGGCATTCCACTGTAAGGAAGAAACTTCTCATTTTTCCATATACTTGTCGATTTGTTTATTGCTCTCAGGTTGAACTCATTGATTCTGCTTTATTCAATGGATTAAAACCCATTACAGTGGGTTACTAGTATTACTTATTTTGTTGCTTAAATTATCCTAGATTTGGCCAGTGAGAGCCCCATCAAATGGCTTCTATGTCCTTTCGACGTATCCCTGTCATTTTCTGAGCACAGGAAGGAAGAAAGGAAAGAAGGGAGGAAGGGAGAGAGAAAGCCTTTTTTTTTTTCTTTGCTTTAGGTGAAAGTTTATAGAGTAAATTATCATTAAACAATTAATACACATATTGTTTTGTGACATTGTTTGCCAACCCAGCAACATGTTAACACTCTTCTCTTCTCAACCTTGGGTTCCCCATTTCCATTCATCCAGCTTTCCTGTCCCCTCCTGCCTTCTCGTCCTTGCCCCTGGACTGGTGTGCCCATTTAGTCTCGTGTACATGGTTGAACTACCTGTTGTTGTTTGTTTTATAGCCTATCTAATCTTTGGCTGGAGGGTGAACCTCATGAGTGACTTCAGTACTGAGGTAAAAGGGTGTCTGGGGGCCATACTCTTGGGGTTCTTCCAGTCTCTGTCAGGCCAGTAAGTCTAGTGTTTTTTTTTGTTTGTTTGTTTGTTTTGGTGAGTTTGAATTTTGCTCTACATTTTTTTCCAGCTCTGTCCAGGACCCTCTATTGTGATCCCTGTCAAAGCAGTTGGTAGTGGTAGCCAGGCACCTAACTAGACGATAGACAAGTGGTAACTTTTGTGAGGGATAAGACAGTACACGATATGGGGGAAGCCAGCACAATCTGACCAAGCAAAGTCATAGAAGATTCCTATACACACCCAAACTCTCTGAGGGACTGAGTTACTGGGCTGAGGCCTGGGGACCATAGTCTCGGGGACATCTAGCTCAATTAGCTTAACATAGTTTATAAAGAAAATATTCTACATCCTACTTTGGTGAGTAGCATCTGGGGCCTTAAAAGCTCGTGAGTGGCCGTCTAAGATATGTCCACTGGTCTCACCCTGTCTGGAGCAAGGGAGAATGAAGAAAACCAAAGGCACAAAGGAAAGAGTAGTCCAAAGGACTAATGGACCACAACCACCACAGCCTCCCCCAGACTGAGTCCAGTACAGCTAGGAAGCCATTGTTTTTAAGTGGAGGCATAATTAACATACAATAAAATGTACAGATCTTAAATGTTCAATTTGATGAGTTACTGTACCCAAGTAAAACGAAACCCATTGCCATTGAGTGGATTCAGACTCATAGTGACCCTAAAGGACAGCGCAGAACTGCCCCATAGGATTTCCAAGGCTGAAATCTTTATGGAAGCTGACTGCCACTTTTTTTCCCCTGCGAAGCGGCTGGTGGGTTTGAACCACCGACCTTTCTTTCGGTTAGCAGCCAAGTGTTAAACCACTGCACCGCTAGGGCTCCTGTGCATCCAAATAATAACCACCACCTAAAATAAGATATAGAACATCTCCATCCTTCCAGAAAGCTCCTTCATGCAAAGAAGTACAAACATCATTAAAAACCCCCTCCCGTCACTGCTCTTCTCAATGTCTACCACTCAGTTTGTAGCTGCTGTCAAAAATGTCCTCAATTTCAACCTTCTCTTCACAAATTTTCTTTGCCTGATATCCAGACTGTTTGATTTCTTTTTCTCCAACTACCTTGTCTCTATTCTGTAAAACAACTTAGCCCCTCTGACTTATTAGTTCTCTCTCTTCTTCACTCCTTCAGGGGATTCTGCACAACAAAGGGGAGCCTGAGAGTGATGTGAGGAGGGCAGTGACGGTTCAGTGGTAGAATTCTCGCCCTCCGTGCAGGAGAACGGGTTCAATTCCCAGCAGTGCACCTCAAGCACAGCCACCACTCACCTGTCCATAGAGGCGGGTGTGATGCTGAACAAGTTTCAGCTGAGCTTCTAGACTAAGATGGACTAAAAAAGAAAGCCCTGATAATCTACTTCCAAAAATCAACCAGCGAAAACCCCATGGATCACAATGGTCCCTTGTGCATAGGGCCACTACAAGTCAGAGACTGATTTCATGGCAGCTAAGAACAACAACAATGGGAGTGATGCAGTAAACAAGAATCCTTTCCCTTCTAAGGCGGTGGTGGTGGTATGTATGTGTGTAAAGATCGTGATTTACTCACAAAAGGAGAAGGAACACCATTATTTTTATTTTACTGGTAGTACACTTTTCTTCTCGTCATGGAACACCATGTTCATTAGGAACCGAATTTAAGAAATACTGCCTGACACCAACATTTCTCGAACGCATGGGTTTCAAGGAATGTTAGAGCAAACGAAGTATGAGAGAAGTAAGGAGTCATGGATGGTGCCCACTGAACCCTATCGAGCAACTTTATCAGCGTTGGCTCATTCTCTCCTTCTTCTCACTGTTTTTAATTCTTTGAGTCCCAACTTGCCATTTCATATTAACTTTCTAATCCCTGGAACAGATCTAGGGATCTGTCTAGACAGAGCTAAGAAATATTAAAAATGGATAAGCAGGATTTTGTGTTGATTTGGCCCCCAAAAAATAAAGGAGAGTTCTAAGGTCATAAGTGGAGCTACCAGGAGGATCTTGTTACTAATTGCAGGTAAAAGAAATAGGGAAGAAGTACCAATAATTGACTGCAGACAAGGAGCTCAGTCTTTTAGTCTGAAAGCTTTAAGTGCCTAAGTAAGTAAGGTGCTCTTTAGAAGCATACACCTGGAAACTGGAACGTCAATTTAGTGGTACAGTAACTGAGACACAGAGAGATTAACTGTCCAAAGGTGATACACCAAGGCTGTGGGATTCCTCCATTTTAGTGCATCACCCACTATATACGCAAAACAAAGGATGGGGAATGAGAGATCTGGACTTCTGGAGAATCTGGGAATCACCAGGATTCTATCAGAGGCAACAATAAAATATTTTGTGCCATGAACATAAATGTCATGGAGACAGAGACACTATCTACCAAAGATTTCACAACAGACCAACAGAAATGAAAAGTAAATGATTAAAGAACGTACCTAGGTCTCAGAGTCCCTTTCAAATCATCATACTTTATCTTCTATCTACAGAGATCAAAGTAAACACCCCAAAAGGTTAATATTTAAGCACCGTTATATTTATTATATTTCCATGTCTCTTTTTAGAAGAGGAAAGCAGCTTTGGTAGTGCCAGTGTGAATCACTGTTGTCCCCGATGATTTCTCCGGTGCTCATCCTCTTCTCAGGTTTTCTTTACCATGTTGCTATTGCAGGACGGAGTGAGTACTTTTTCTTTTGAAAAAATAAGTAACATATCCAACCTCCTAGTATTTGTCAGGGATCAATAATAGTAACTTTAAATTCCCTTCTAGGGTGGAATGCTGAAGAGACTGGATTGATTCTTATTCTATTAGCTTGTCATGTTTAAAATCTCCTCCATAATACACTTAGCCAATTTAAGCCTCGGTGAGCTCAGCTGTAAACCAAAAGGTTGGCAGCTCGAATCCACCAGGTGCTCCTTGGAAACCCTACAGGGAAGTTCTACTTGGTCCTAAAGGGTCACTATGAGTCGGAATCAACTTGACGGCAACGACTGTGTTTTGAGTTTTGGTTGCTGTTGTTAGGTGCCATTGAGTTGGTTATGACTCACAGAGACCCTACATACTACCGAACGGAACACTGCCCGGTTCTTCGCCATCCTCATAATTGTTGTTATGCGTGAGCCCATTGTTGCAGCCACTGTGTCAGTCCATCTTGTTGAAAGTCTACTTTTTCACTGACCCTCTACCAAGCATGATGCCTTTCTCCAGGGACTGATAGCTCCTGATAACATGTCTAAAGTATGTAAGACTAAGTCTCACCATCCTTACTTCTAAGGAGCATTCTGGCTGTATTTCTTCCAAGATAGATTTGTTTGTTCTTTTTGGCAGTCCATGGTATATTGAATATTCTTCGCCAACCCGATAATTCAAAGATATCAATTCTTCTTTGGTCTTCCTTATTCATTGTCCAGCTTTCACATGCATATGAGGTGACTGAAAACACCATGGATTGGGTCAGGTGCACCTTAGTCTTCAAGGTGACATCTTTGCTTTTTAACACTTTAAAGAGGTCTTTTGCAGCAGCTTTGCCCAATGCAATGTGTCATTTGGTTTCTTGACTCTGCTTTCATGGGTGTTGATTATGGATCTGTTTATCATGATGTTGAGTTTTGGTAGTCACCTATAAAATGGGGATAATAATAGTATCTACTTCAAAGGGTTGTTGAGGCAATTAGATGAGATATTGCATATGAAGAATTTGTTGTGGGACTGTCATACTCATTATTAGTAGAATTAAATACTTATTTTCATTTGTGTGCTTGCTGAACTTTTAAAATACAAGTATAGATTTCTTAACCAACTGCTTGGTGCTCTATTGCAGCTTGTCCCAAGCCAGATGCAGTACCGTTTGCCACAGTCTTGCCAATAAAATCATTCTATGAGCCAGGCGAGCAGATCACGTACACATGCCAGCCAGGTTATATTTCCAGGGGAGGAGGGATGAGACGGTTTACGTGCCCTCTCACCGGCGTGTGGCCCATCAACACTCTGAAATGTCTACGTAAGTCAGTGCCTCCTAGCATGTTCTCTCCCCTCATTCAGACTCTGGGCATTCCGTGGGATGACCAACCTCATCATGCTCAGGGTGCGGAGGGTCAGCAAAGGCTGCAGGGTGGGGAGCCTGCTAAGAAACCAGAGGGTCTAGAGGATCTCCATGGGAAAAGGCAATCGAGGCAGTAAGTGCTAGTTGGAGAAGAAGAGAAGATCCTAGCCTAGAACGCAGAGAGGTTTAGAAGCATCCTGGCTAGTGAATGATAAAAGGAGAGGAAAGCACTCTAGAAATTAGAAGAGTAGATACTCTAAGGAGATCTGGTGGCGCAGTGGTTAAAGCATTGGCTGCTAACCAAAAGGTCAATAGTTTGAACCCACCAGTGCTCTGTGGGAGAAAGATGTGGCAGTCTGCTTCTATAAAGATTTACAGCCTTGGAAAGCCTATGGGGCAGCTCTGCTCTGTTCTATAGGGTCGCTATGCATCAGAATCGACTGGAATGCAGTGGGGATCCACTGGGTTTGGTAGATACTCTGAAATGTAAACTGATGCCAAAGAGACACTTGGAGAAAGAAAACTTGGGGAATCATCATATATTTGTCCTTTGCCTCAAAATGGAAGCTGATTTGATAGTTTCTGAAATAAATAGAAGTTTTCATCTAAAAAATATATATGTATACTGTATACACACACATATATATTATCATTGCTTTATTGTAGGTGGCGACATTGATTTTTTCCCTCACACTATGGTTTTATGACATCACGCTAGCATTATTTACTGCAGTCAAATATTCGGCAATTAACCAGACAGAATTTCTGGCAATTATATAGAGTAGCTAAGCAGTAACAATAAACTGATCTGAGCTCTAGTTATTTTTGGTTAATGAACATGACCTTTGTCAAAATTAAACATGTTCACACTGATTTTAATATGCTTTTTGAGTAAAAGAGACTAAACATAATTTTTAATGAAAACTCACTATAATATCATTAAGAAAATTTTTTCTTTCAATAATCCATAACACTGGAACACTAACAATTTCATTTTTTCAAGTTATTTTCCACATGCATATTTTCTCATCATTGCAAAGGGTATGTACTATTTTGTATTTTTTCTAGTTTCATTCAGGATATCAAAAAAATTTTCTATGTCTCTACAGTCCTTAGAATTCATATATTATTGGCTGTGTAAATGATGGTTCTAAAACGATGTAGTTTCCAGATGTAGGATTCTAAAGAACATCTTACTTAGGCATCTAAAACTTTAATGCCCTAAAAATTGAGCCCATGAGTTCAACTCTTGATATACTTTGATAAATTAAAACAATCCCGACAGTGAACATTTAGATCGTCCAAATTTTGTTATTAGAGGTAACAGTGTAATAAACACTTTAGTGCAGATATCATTTGATCTACTTTGAATTATTTTCTTAGAATAGTTACTAATAGAGATACTAGATAAAAGGATGAAAATGGGCATAGATATTTTTATTTTAATAGAAAATGCTATAAATGGAAATTTACCTTTTTATTTTTCAATCACAGCTCGAGTATGTCCTTTTGCGGGGATCTTAGAAAATGGAGCTGTACGCTATACAACCTTTGAATATCCCAACATGATCAGCTTTGTTTGTAACACTGGGTAAGGTTTTCCAGGCAACTGCGTAGCTAATACACATAGCACATTTCTGTGCCTTTAATCTAAACATCCAGACTGGTCCTTTAGGTTGGACTTGCTGAATACAAAACAATTTTTGTTCTGCTTTTAATATATGCCACAGTGACATCCAAGGGGGAGTAATGTATAAGGAATACAACAACTAGCAAAATATGATGTTACCACTATATCTAATTTTTCTGCCCTGATTAATTACTTATCTGAGGAGGTATATCGAAACAATTGTAACTAGACAATAATTTTCTATAATCTCTGGGCCAAATCTTTTTTTTTAGTTCAGAAATACACATTTTTATTAATCTCTGAGAAATACATAATAAATATATCAAGAAAACTTGGTGGGATGAATAGCAATTTTTTAACATTGTCATGAATTTCTATTAATATAAGCTAGGCAGATGAAAATGTCTGATTTGAACAGTTCAGTCAGGGAAAAATGAATCACTTATCCTGTGAACTTATCTCCTGTTCTAGGAAAAACAATATCTAATTTTTTTTTTGTACAGTCATACATTAAAATAAATTCACCCTTAACACAAACTTAGCTCTGGGCCAAATCTTGCCATTTGTTGTCGTTGTCGTTGCATGCCATGGAGTCGATTCTGACTCATAGCGACCCTGCAAGACAGAGGAAAACTGCCCCAGAGAGTTTCCTAGGCTCTAATCTTTACAGGAACAGACTGGCAGGTTTTTTCTCCCACAGAACGGATGGTAGGTTTGAACTGCCAATCTTCCAGTTAGCAGCCTCAGAGCACTTAACCACTGTGCCACCAGGGCTCCTTAAATCTTAGCATAAGGGTTAAAATATTTTAGGAATGGGACTTAGGTTTCAGTTATTAGGCAAATTTAATTGGGCAACCTAGAAGAAAGAAGAGAATTCTATGGAGAAGGTTAGGAGTGTGATGACAGAAAACATGGTACCCATAGTCTTCACAAAATGCAATATAGCACCTGCAGCAAGGAAGCATTTACGATTGTTCACACATCTCATCTGCCTTGTGAGCAGACATCACTGTGACGTTGTCAATAGCACACTGGCTGCATGTGAGGGCAAATTTTTACTGAGGATTCTTAAGTTTAGAATTTGAGATTGAGAAATACTATTTGTGACGGAGAAATACAGTTCCTTCATCTGAAACATCACTGTACTGGTGGGTTTGATGGTAAACAACTTTGAAAAAATTTGCCTCAAGGACGGAATGTTACATTTTCTGTAAGATAGACTAAGTTGGGTCCTCAGGAAAGCAGTATTCTAAGATGGGAAAGAAGTCAATAGTAGTACCATGAAGCAATGCTCAGTGGGGAAGACATCTGAGATGCCGCTGATGGATTATTTTACTGCTTAATGGACATCGTTTTCTTTTTGCAGGTTTTATCTGAATGGAACTAGTTCTGCCAAATGCACTGCGGAAGGAAGATGGAGCCCGGCGCTTCCTGTCTGTGCTCGTGAGTCTGTGGGCCCGGTTATGAGGGAGGGTGACTAATTTGTCCCGATTAGTCTGGGACTTCCTGGTTTTAGTATTGAAAGTGCCATGTCCCAGGAAACCCCTCAGTGTTGGCCCAATGCGATGATCATGCTGATACCACCATCCTGCTCTGGAGGATGCAACAGCCATTTTGGAGTGACAGAAGGGAAACATCCTCTTCATGAACACATTTTGCATCCTCCACGTGGTGGAGCCAGTGGTTGCTGGGTTTGTTAACGCCAACACTCCCACAGTGTTTGGCAAGGGCTTGAGAATGGGTGTATTTGTCTTTCAGGGTCTGCCACCATTTGACTAGGAGAAGTTCTAGAAACAACGGAATGAAACCTCCACCTACCCGGACCCTCATTCATTTATTCATTTACATAAACATGTATTAACATGTATTGGGCACCTAGCTGAAAATAGTTGAGTTTTATAAACATACTTTCCAGTAAGGAAGAGAAAAAAAAAAAAAAGATCAAAGATGAACTTGAGGAAATGCACACTTTGACTGAATGCCAGGGTTTATTTCCAATAAACATGTATCAGGCACCTAGTATGCTCCAGAACCTACTCTCAGCACTGAGGCTACAAGACCAAAGGACACTTAGCCCCACCCTCAGGGAGCGAGTCTAGAGATGAGGAAGACAAGGAAAGCAGCCTTCCCAGTATGCTTGGGGCCCGTTATAGGGCCTCGTACCCTAGAAGCTGGTTGAGATTCTTCCAAAAGGTGGCAATGACTTATTCAGGTGATGTTCAGACAAGCAGTCAGGGTCAGCTCTGGGCTTTGCTAACACAAGGAGGGACGTTCTTATGCTCCCTAATGTGTGATTTCTACAAGCCCACTCATTGACCAGGAGGCCTGGGCATTGCAACAATAATTATCATTCTTTCATCTTTCAGCCGGGTCTGTCCTAGCAAAAGCAAGTGGAAAAGTAGAGCAATTTCAAATGAATACTAGTTTAAGAAAACCAGAACTATAAGGAAGAAGTTTTTTAAGGATAAATGGAGTTTTTCACTCAGCAGTAGGAATCACCATGGTTTTTATTAAATAGTTACCTTTTAAGCAAATTTATATCAAGTATGTAAATCCACTGCTTATAAATTACAAGCAGAAAGGCTACGTTAGCTTCAATCTAATCTAACTGAATGTGTCTCATAATTCAATGTATATATGAATTATCTGGGGATCTTGTTAAAGTGCAGCTTCTGATTCAGTAGGTCTGGGGTGAGGTCTGAGCTTCTGCATTTCTAACTAGCTCCCATGCTGCTCATCCTTATACCACACTTTGGGCAGAAGGATCTAGATAATGCAAGATAATTCACATTTTGGTCTGCATTATCTTCCATTATGTTAGCAGTGTAACATTTCCTGAACTGGTTGAAACTCCACGTTGGCCTGGTCACGATGATGACCCACTATGATGTCTTTGTGTCCTTGAAGATACGTGCATAAGCCCCATACACGTAGTGTCCAAAAGCAGGAGGTATTCAATAGGAACAAGCAAACCTGACCTAGCAGGAGAGCTCAGATGTCAAAAATGACTGCACCGAGTTACCGTCACCAGCAATTATTGCATGATGTTCGCTCAGCAACGTCCTCTTCTGATTCTGACTTCCAGAAACATTTTCCTCTGTAACATCTGGATCAAAGGCTTTATGGAAACCCAACCACTGTGTTATTGTACGAGGCAAATCAGTGGCGGCAAGACTTACATTTACTTCACCTCCGAGTTTTTTTGACTGCTTCAGACATTTGATTTGGAGATATTTTCTTACTTGGCATCCATAATTGACAGTTTTTACCCTGTGTTATGGATTGAATTGTGTCCCCCAAAAATATGTGTTGTAAATCCTAACCTCTATGCCTGTAGTTGGAGCCCTGGTGGTGCAGTGGTTAAGAGCTTGGCTGTTAACCAAAAGGTCAGCAGTTCGAATCTACCAGCTGCTCCTTGGAAACCCTATGGGGCAGTACTACTCTGTCCTATGGGGTAGCTATGAGTTGGAATCATTTTTTATGCCTGTAATTATAATCCCATTTGGGAATGGGTTGTGTTTGTTACATTAATGAGGCAGGATTAGTGTAGAGTGTGTCTTGAGTCAATCTCTTTTGAGATACAAAGACATTAAACAAGCAAGAGAGAAAGCAGCCATGAGGAAAGACACATGCCAAGCCATGTGAAGACAGCCCAGAAGCAGAAGCTGAGAAGACAAGGACCTTCCTCCAGAGCCAACAGAGAGAGAAAGCCTTCCCCTACAGCCAGCACCCTGGATTCGGACTTCTAGCCTCCTAAACTTTGAGAAAATAAATTTCTGTTTGTTAAAGGCACTGACTTATGATATTTCTGTTATAGCAGCACAAGATAACTAAGACATCCTGGCATTCAATCAAAGTGTGCATTTTCTCAAGTTCATCTTCGATCTTTTTTTTTTTTTCTTACTGGCAAGTATGTTTATAAAACTCAACTATTTTCACAGAGATGATGATTCTTTCTTTTTCCAGCTGTAACCTGTCCTCCACCACCCATACCTAAATTTGCCATCACGAGTGTTTATAAGCCATCGGTTGGAAACAACTCCCTCTATCAGGACACTGCAGTCTTTGCATGTTTGCCACGCTATGCGATGTTTGGAAATGACACAATTTCCTGCACAGAACATGGAAATTGGACTCAACTACCAGAATGCAGGGGTAAGTGCAATGAGACAAAATAATTATATTAGTTTAGAATCCCGTTTTTGAAAGTACCACTATCATGGAGTGTCAAATTCCTTCATTCAACAAATGTTTACTGAGCATCTACCATGTAACAGGCAGGGTACTAGGTGATGGAGACCGAGTGACACCTGGCTTCTCACCTCAGGAAGATCATGTATAATGCAATTCAATGCCTGGAGCTGCCTGGGAAAGCTTCACAGAGGTGGTGGCCCTTGAACTTGGCCTAGGAGGAGGCGTGGGGCATGCCAGATAAGAGCACAGCATGTGCGTAACAGTCACTGGAACACCCAGTGATTCAGTGGTGTAATGGAGACTAGAATATAACTGTTCCATAACCACAGGACAACATTCCCTATTTATTACTAATATGTCTTATTGAATAAACTTTTTAGAAGTAAAGTGCCCATTTCCATCAAGACCAGACAATGGATTTGTGAACTATCCTGCAAAACAAGTACTTTATTACAAGGATAAAGCCACATATGGTTGCCATGATACATTTACTCTGGATGGCCCAGAAGAAGTAGAATGTACCAAATTGGGGAACTGGTCTGCCCAGCCAAGTTGTAAAGGTAGGGAAATTTGAGTGAAATCTTACAATGTCTGAATTTATCCAGTGGATCGCCTTTACTTGCTATTTTCTTGTTCCATTCATTTTCTACTTGTTGTTCATACTTGCTTCGCTACTATTGTCATGTAAGAGACTTTAGGATTCACATGTGCATGGTGAAGCCTCATGCTTAGGAAGCTTGCTTGAGATTAATCTGACATAAAATAAACAGATCCTTTGTATGCATGATAATGTGGTGGAAGATCAAGGGGGCTTTCATAATAGTTTCTTGACTCTTTGCCTGTAAGCATCATTTTTTGCTTTGTTCTAGTCAAGGCTCTTCTTGTAAAAAGCAACTCCACATTCAAGCTAGTTTAAAAAAAGGGCGGCTTATTCTTAAAAGGCAACAGGTAATCATATGGACATTGAAGATGAGGAAATGAAGTACAACTGGTTCTTCTGGGAATTGGAACTGAAAGCCAGGAGATATTGCTGTCCTCTCCATATTTCAGCGCCATCGTAGTCTCTCCATCTCTGTGTCTCTTTGATTGCTCTTCTTGAATACGACTTGACTTTACACCAGGACATCTCAGCTAAAGGATCCATCACTAACTGGCATCTTTCCCCTGAGACTCTTTGGTTCCTTCTGAGTCAGGTGCCCATCCTTGATCCAGTCAACGTCATGCTTATACAAGCAACAACAACCTAGACGAAGAACAACCATACCTCTGCTTAGGCTGCTGTAGCTAGTCAGTTTAAGTAGAAAGAGAAATTTAAACACAGCAGCAAGATGACAAATGACTAGTGACTTCATTTGGGATCCCTAGAAGCAGAGCCTGAGACAGGGATTCAAGAGCAATCGATTTATTAAGTGAGTATCTCAGGAGAAAGAGAGTGAGGCAGATGAGACCAGGGCATTGGTTCTCACCATTGAAGTGCATCAGAATGACCGGAGGGCTTGTTTAAACACAGATTGCTGCGCTCCACCTTCAGAGTTTCTGATTAGGTAGATCTGGGATGGGACCTGAGAATTTGCATTTCTAACAAGTTCCCAGGTGATGCTGATGCTGCTGATTCAGGTACTACAATTTGAGAAACACTGGGGATGTGGTCTTAGTTAGAGTCAAGCTTCAGCCTGATCCCACATGGAGCCCTGAAGCGTTGAATTGTACACCAGAGTTGAGCCCACCAAGAGGCAAGGGGACCTGCCTTTTGTATCCCCTTGTGAGTGAGTCATTGGCTATAGTCTGCTCCTCTTCTCCCCCAGGTGGGGTGGGGCTTGCATAACCTCCACGAAGAGATAGCTCCCCTGTGACTGACGGCAATTTTTCAGACTAAGGAGCATTTGTGAACGGTTAGCAACCAACACTCACAGTGACTGGGGGACGGGTGCACCAGCTCAGTAAATGGAATCTGGGTGGGGTAGTGTAGGCTTGCATGAAATGGTACCACCTGGTGGAAGTTCCTACATTGAGTCCAGGAGTCTGGAGCTTCTGTTCTGACCTTCTTATATGACTATAGAAGGAAGCAAAGGTCATCTTGGCAGCGGCGACTAACGGTTATATTGACACAGAACTGCTATTAGTAATGATATTGATTACACACTGTGTACATTCTTGGTATCTTCTTGTCTTGATCTGTTTGTTTCAGGTGTATCATCTACTGGTTCAAACGTTATGCTCTCTTTAAGAAATATTTACTCAACTCTTAAGTCTTGACTACACATATTCTGTCTTGCAGCATCTTGTAAATTATCTGTTAAAAAAGCCACTGTGCTTTTCCAAGGAGAGAGAGTAAAGCTCCAAGAAAGATTTAAGAACGGAATGCTGCATGGTGAAAAAGTTTCCTTCTTCTGCAAAAATAAGGAAAAGAAGTGTAGCTATACAGAGGATGCTCAGTGCATAGATGGCACCTTTGAAATCCCCAAATGCTTCAAGGGTAAGTCTAACATTGCAACTTTTAGCTAGGGCTTCCACTTGCCCGTCACCACAATCAGCACTTCTGTTGTATAATGACTGTAAGAAGCCACATGTACTTGGCCACTGAATTTGTAAAAAGGAAGGGAGAGGGAAGACACAGCCAGATGAAGCAGTGAGCTGCTTACAGTGTCTCCACTTGCATAAACATCTTCCTTTCCAATTCTTTTCCTCAAAACTCAGCTGTGGTTTTATTCAATGAATGTTGGGGTGAATTATGCCATCTTGTGTAATTCCAAATTAAACTTGAATAATATTTGAACTTCTCAGCACCTCTTGCTCTCAAATTATAAAGAATTCACCCCAAATTACAAAGTATCTCATGGCCATGGTAATTGATCTCCAGATCTCCAACATTTTTTTGCTTCCTTTAGCAATCCTTAGAGTTTAGAAAAGTATCCATTCGAGCAAAATATTTGCTAAAGCAACATATTTTAAGGAAGATGATGTTATGTTTGTGTAAAATAAAGGAAGTGTATAATGGGCAACATTTACAGCTGCCAATCTTTGAAGGTTTCGGAGTAGGGATTTAAATACTTTTGCTGCTAGAAGGAAGAATCAGCCAGAGGCCGAAGCTGTTACCAAGAACATTGATAGCCCTATATCTGCAGGCTGGGAGAAGATAGAGATGGGAGCAGATGGAGATGACAGAGAGGGGTCTGAGAAGGCGCCCGCCAGAGGGAGAGAAGAGAATGATGATCGGTTAATCAAACCCACCTCATAGGCTTCGAACTGGTTCTTCCCGGTTCAGTCATGGCCAAGGAAGCAAAACTGCAATAGACTCGAATTTTTAAAATTTCGGTGTACCAGAAAGGTAACCGGAACGGGAAAAACTACGAGTTGAAGCCCTGGTGCAAACTTAATCTGCCTCTTAGAAGACAAGGGGGCAGTGTACGCCTTGCGTAGCAACCAGACCTTTTGCTGTTAGGATTTTGCGCATAGTCGAAACTGCAGCGCACCGCTCAAAAATGGAGGCGGCCCAGACCGATTTCAATGTGTCGCTCTCCGCAGTCCTGCCCGTAATCCAATCTCCAGGGCTCACTATGCCTCTTCCATGTCTCCATGACTGGGGCTTGGACACCTAATTATTGTGCTGGGTCACCGAAATTTTAAAAATGCGGGGTCTTTCGGTTTCCCTTTCTTGGCCATGACTGAACGGGTTCGAGCCCGTTGGAAGCCCTGATTATTAGAAATAAGACGCGTGACATGGAGAAAGTTCCCAACCAATCACAGTTGGTATCTTTATAATTATAAAACAGTTATAAAGGCAGGGAATAAATTGTTATTGTCCAAACGACAGCAGAGTCCTGGTGAGAAGTTCAATCATAAAAGCGATAAAGCACAATAAGCCTAAAACAAATCAGTAGAAAAAATATTAAAAGTGGATAATTAAAAAAAAAAACAAAAAACAAAAAACAACCAAAGCCTTGTTGATGTCTTTCTTTAGACACTTCTCCCTTAGAGTCTTCACCCAGATGCAGCACTGTGAGTGTACTGGAGAATAAATAAAGGCTGGATAGTGTTTCTTTTTTCCTTTTAATCTTGACTGTCATATAGAACTCTTTATATTCTTTCTCGGAAACGAGTGCTTTAACATTTGCTAATGTTTTCTTGTGTCACTTAAACCTCAAGCTGAAAGATTCCCATTATATAATTACATTTATTCTACACATTTATAAAATGTATTTGATTTGGCTTAGTTATTTAACAAATTTAAGAAATGATTATTTCTCTTAGAATTTTATCTGTTTCTTCCCCAACAGAGCACAGTACTTTTGCTTTCTGGAAAACTGATGCATCAGATGTAAAGCCATGTGAAAGTGATTCTTAGACTCAAAATTAAATGTCATATTTGTATCTGTGTTTGTCCAAGGAAACTAATAAAAGTGGAAAAAATAAACTTACAGAATTTATTGCTTCAACCATTGCAGTGTTACTCCTCGTGGTGGCTTACTTTCAGTTATGTTACCTGGTTAAGGAGCTCAAATATTTGGAACATCATCATTTTATGGCTGTAAAATGGAAAGGGTAGACAGTTAACTGGGTAGCCCAGTTCCCCTCCTCCCTAATTCTACTGTCAAGTGCTTTAACCTAAAACACTTGTAATGCAGTGTTTTTCATAGAATGGTCTACATTAGCATCACTTGGGTGCTTATTACAAAGGCAAAATGCTGGGTCAGAATCTCCAAGATGGTTTAGAAATCTGCATTTATGGCAAAGTCCCAGATAATTCTTGTGCATCTTCCAGTGTGAGAAGCATTGTCATAAAGGAATGAACACAGGCTTCCAGACCAATAGAATTGGATTTGAATCGATGTTTACAAAATACCTGAAAAATCTTTCCTTGTTGTTGTTAGGTGGTGTTGAGTCGAGTTCCAACTCAAAGCGACCCGATATGACAAATCTTTATAGCTGTAACCTTTATGGGAGCAGATCACCAGGTCTTTTCTCCTGCAGAGCTACTGGGTGGGTTCAAACTGCCAATCTTTTGGTTAGCAGCCAAACACTTAACCATGGGGCTACCACAGCCCCTAAATCTTTCCTTACTCACCAGGATTCCATGATCTATTGTGGACACCACTTCTTTGCACGTATTCAACTTCCTTGCCCTTCTCCTTCTGCTGGCAAAACCTAGCTCAAGCTCTGTTTTCCCTGATGCCTGCACTCCAGTAGCTGACTGTTGCTGGAAAATAAAAACAAACAAAAACTCACAATTATGCTGATAGGTCTCACTTTACATTCATGAACACAAGACCTCAGCTGTGCATAGCAACTCATGTATTTCTCTAGTTTATCTACTCTCCTGCTCCCCAAGGTGGCTATTTCATACTTTCTCCTCTCTTCTCAGCTCTCCCCAAACCACCTTCCTTCTCCTTACTCTTAGCTGATGACTTGCACGTTATTTTAGTGAGAAAATGGAAGCACTCAGAAAAGACTCTTTTTTCATCCTTCTACTACCAATTTCAAAGGTCCTTAGGTGGCATGAACGGTTTGCCCTCGATTGCTAATCTAAAGGTTGGAGACTTGAGCCTACCTGGTAGTACTGTGGAAGAAGAGGCCTGGAAATCTGCTTCTGTTAATATTAAGCAAAGAAGACTCTACAGAGCAGTTCTACTCTGTAACACATAGGTTTCCATGAGTCAGAATTGACTGCATGGCAACTAAAAACAACAACTACTGATTCCATTATCCTACCAGTATCTACCATGTAGGAGTCCCTGGATAGCACAAATGGTTAAGTGTTGGACTACTAGCTGAAAAGTTAGTGGTTTGAATCCACCCAGAGGCACTTTGGGAGACAGGGCTGGCGATCTGCTTCCAAAAGGTCACAGCCTTGAAAATTAAGAATTTCTTCCCTTAGAACCTGTAAAGTGGTGGTGGTAGTTATAGTCCCATCAGTACCTGTCTAACTTCAGGGGGATAATGACCAGGATCAGCCCAAAGCTGATTCCCATGAGGTGAAGGTCAGACATACCTCCACTCTTCAACTTTTTTTTTTACCAACTCTGACACCAGCCATCTTTCCTACAGCACTGTCTACTTCTCTTCTGGGTTCCATTGCAATAGCCACACAGAACTCAGAGACCATACTTACAGTTAAATGGTTTATTAAGCAACAGGTACAACTCAGGAATGAGGATCAGGAAGCATGTAGGCAGTCTCCCTTCTTCAGTGCAGGAAAGCTCTCTCAGCTCCTCTCAGCAGGACAGGCCTCCTCTCAGCCCCCTGAGGACGAGATCCTCTTGGTCCCCTTGGAACAGGCTGCTCTGGGCCCTGCCATCGGTCGCCACCAGCTCTGCCACTGGGCTGCTTCCAGGCCTCTCACTGTCTTCAGTGTCATAGCTCTTGATCAGCGTTACAGCTCTTTTAGGAGATTCCTTGCCTCCTCTCTCACTGCTTCTTTCTCTTCTTTTTTCTTTCTGCTTCTTCCTGCTGCTTTTCTTTTCCTACTTCTTTCTGTCTGATCAACCTCTGTCGGGTTGGCTGTATATATACACTAGCTCTTCATAAACTTAAATGCATTGCCCTCCCACCAGGGCCACAAACTGACTGATCCCTTCTTGGTAGACCACAGGCACTTCATTTGCATATCAGGCATGGCTAAGCTACAATTTACCTCCTTTGCATAGTCTATTGACCAATCCCTGCAAGGCACATACCAATCACAGGGCAGGCTGCGGCCAAGGACCAGACAAAAAGTACCATAACCAAGTTGTTTACAGCTTACCCAGGAAATGTCAATCAACCCTCTGGGGTACAAAACTAGGGTAAATGTAACTCTTCAGGACTTAGGGGAAAAATCTCTCAAGCTGTTTTTCCAAAGAACCAGGGCAAAAGGCCGCATAAAGGAATTCATTCACCACAGAATCACTGTTTTAGCTTGTCACATATTCATTTTAAAACCGATTCCCCCTAATTCAACCTGACAACTCTAGATACGGAAAGAGAGCGGTAAAAATTTTAGAACATCTTTCCCTGACCCAGGCATAATCATTGTGTTTGCTCTGGAAAAGAGAAGAATATATTTTTCTATTTTCCCTCCTTTTGTTGCAAATTCTTTCATAATTCATCTTATTATTTTCAGAAATTGTATCTATATCTCCAACTTTTAAAATTGCTCACTTTCCTTTTGCTCACTTGGAATGGAGTTGACAGGACTGGCTATAGGTAGGACTGTGAAACAGTGAAGGTAAGTAATGAAGACTCTTTGGCATCTGGGTGGGAGGTTATTTGAGGTCTCTCTACTACAGACCTGAGTGCCAGGTCTTTTGCTCAATCTCTGAGGGTCTCTTAGTTAAAACTGTCAGGATCAGACTTTTCTCTGCTTCCATAATTACCGTTCCCTCCTCAGATCAACAAAGCCATATTAACCCAGAATTTCTGAATTATGAACTCTTGATCTTAGCTTACCCCTCTCATGGATTGAATTGTGTCCCCCCAAAAATGTGTGTTATCAGTTTGGCTGGGCCATAATTACCAGTATTGTGTGGTTGTCCTCCATTTAGTGATTGTAATTTTATGTTAAAGAAGATTATGGTGGGATTGTAACACCCTTACTAAGGTCACTTCTCTGATTCAATGTAAAGGGAGTTTCCCTAGGGTGTGGCCTGCACCACCTTTTATCTTACAAGAAATGAAAGGAAAGGGAAGCAAGCAGAGAATTGGGGACCTCACACCACCAAGAAAGCAGTGCCGAGAGCAAAGCGCATCCTTTGGACCCGAGGTTCCTGCGCAGAGAAGCTCTTAATCCGAGGGAAGATTGATGATGACCAGGACCTTCCTCCAGAGCCGACAGACAGAGAAAGCCTTCCCCTGGAGCTGACCCCCTGAATTTGGACTTCTAGCCTACTAGACAGTGAGAAAATAAATTCCTCTTTGTTAAAGCCATCCACTTGTGGTATTTCTGTTAGAGCAGCACTAGATGACTAAGACACCCCCAGTGAAGGAAAATATTCAACAGGGGACTGTTTACTTGTGTGTTTATTATTCATGACCTGTCACAGGGCTATAACCAGGATGGCATGGGTACTGACCAATCAGAATAGATGGCAGTCCTGGAATAGGGGTGGGAAGAGGGGTTGAGAGCCCCTAGATATGCCAGGCATTACCCTTTAGTTGCTAGACTGTGGGAAAGTGGGGAAACGGGGCTAGGGGACAAGCCTGTGGTCAGGTGGTTGGCACTCGGAGGGCTCTGGCAACAGCTGTTTACCAACTGGTATAGAAGCTTTCAGTATGTAAACAACCCATGCAGTCTTATTGGCCCACATGACTGTTTTCATGAAGGATTTGGGGACTTAAAGAATGTTGAAAGAACATATACAATAAAAAAATAAACTACACACACCAAAAATAAAAACAAAAAGCACAGCTGTGGTATTTTTATAAAATCAAATAAGAAAATTTTTAGGAAGAAATACCTGGACCCATCACCTAGAATGAGTTCATCATTATAATTGGACTCTACTTAGCTGTGAGATTTCACACATTGAATGTATGGTTTTAATTTTACAGAAAAAGAAAATATATGAGTCAAGTCATGCCTGGTAATGAATTCTGGCTTTGAGATTAATCCTAATTAGAAAAGATGGTGGGTAACTGAATTCGACATCTATGACTTTCCTTCTGCAAAAGATACAGAAAAGTTCCCTAAATGAATGTTTATGATATTAACATTAGATTATAATTCAGTTGATGCATTTCAACAGCAGGTCCTTTCCCGGAAGCTTTTTAAGTTTCAGATGATTGATCAAATATTTAATAGTAGATTGTGTTAGATGATCTCAGAATAAAATAGGAATCTAAAAAAAAAATTTACAGTATAAAATAGTAAAAAAAAACAAAACCAAATCCATTGCCATCAAGTTGATTCTGACTCATAGCAACCCTATAGGACAGGGTAGAACTGCCCTATGTGGTTTCCAAGAAGAGGCTGGTGGATTCGAACTGCCAATCTTTCAGTTAGCAGCCAAGCTCTTAACCCCTGCGCCACCAGGGCTCCATGTTAAGATAGTAAAGTTAAGTGAAATAACTCACTTAATAGTCAATAGATATTCGTGCTTTTTTGACACTTCTTGCAGAAGCCGTGCTGTGACTGACAAAGTGCACAAGTGTAAGTTATTGGCTCTACTGTAGATCCTTAAATTTAACTGGTAAGTACTATCCGACTTTGAACTTGGTAAATTTGCGTTTATCTAGGTTCTTTTTGAAGTGCTGACTCACTACTTTCTCAGAAATTTTTTCCCCTTCATTATGCTCAATGGGTCTAAGAGGTACTACGGTCAGTGGATTAGTTATCCGTTACGGCATAACCACCACCACTACCAGTTGCCATCAAGTGAATTCCGACTCTTGGTGACCCTACGTGTGTCAGAGTAGAACTGTGCTCCGCAGGGTTTGCAATGCTGATATTTTGGAAG